CTCTTATCTTTCCCTTAAGTGTATGGATTCTTATTTTAGCAAGCAATGTAATTACTCAATGATGAATGACCTTATTACTTGTTTAGGCTTGGTTTTATGCTTTGCTTTATTTTTATAGTTTGGTGGTCAGCCTAAAGTGTTTCCTAAGCCTTTCTAACTTGGTGTAACTCAACCTTCAAACCCTTTTTCCTGTGGATATTGTCTTGATTTTAGGTTTTATTAGGGCACACCTAGAGTAGATCTTACACTAGGCCATGGTCTTTACCCCAAGTTTTAACCTTTCTGCTATCTCAACTGGATGCCAAGGACGTAGAGAGATATTTGTGAGATCTGTCCACTTTGGCAGGGCCAGAACTCCCCTGGCAGTGCTCTTATCTTCCCTAACTCTAGTATCTCTGTTCTAATCATAACCCTATTGTATCTGCTTTATGGTAGCCTTAGATGGTCTTACTCTATGCATATATAGCTCAGCTGTATATATATATTGGTCAGGGTTCTCCCTGAAACAGAACCAATAGGTTCAGAGAGATTCTTACAAGAAATTGACTCACATGATTATAGAAGCTGAGAAGTCCTAAGGTCTGCAAGCTGAAGACCCAGGAGAGCCAGTGGTATGGCCCTAGTCTGAGTCCAAAGGCCTGAAAAGCAGGAGAGCCATTGGTGTGAGTTATGTTGTCCAAGTCTGAAGGCAGGATAAGACCTATGTCCCAGCATGAAGACATTCAGGCAGAGAAAGAGAATTCTTAAACAGCCTTTTTGTTCTATTCAGGCTGTCAATGGATTGGATGTGGCCCACCCACATTGGGGAGGGCAATCTGTTTTACTTCATCTACTCATTCAAATTCAGAACACCTCATCCAGAAATACCTTCATAGATATACCCAGAAATAATGTTTAAGTAAATATTGGGGCACCTCATGACCCAGTCACATTGACACATAAAATTAACCATTATTCCAGCCTTCAGCCACAGATTTGTGATTTGTGTCACACACAGACTTCTGGAATTCCCTCTCACTTGCCACACTGCTTTCCCTTTCTCTGCCTCATGGTCCAGCCATTTCAGCTATCTCAAAGTCTGATCTCTGCCTCCTCAGCACAGTGGGATCTCACTACTTGGCTCATACTCTGCATGAGTTAAGAAATTGTCACTAGATAGAGGAGCTAGGTGATTTGGGAGCTCACCATGAGTTCCCTTTCTCTCAGGGATCACAATCTTATGCTTCCTGTTGTCCTTTACCTGAAAGTAGTTGCCTCATAAATTTTGCCCATTTTCGTACTTGTTTATGGTGAGAAGACTAATTTGGTATAACTTAATCATAGCTGGAGTTTGTTAATTTTCAGCTGATTTATAGTATTTTATTACTTGAATTATACCACTATTCGTGCATTCTTGTGTTGATAAACATTAGGTATCTAGGTGTGTTCAAACTGTCAATAATACAAATAATACTTTAGTGACTATCTTTGTACCCAGAAATGGAATTGCAGGGTTATAGGATACATATTTCTTCAACTTTACTAGATATTGCCAAGTTGCTCTCCAAATTGTACTCTTTTGTATATCCACAAGGAGCATATTAGTTCCATTTATTCCACATCCTTGCTAAAATTTGATCTTGTTGAATTACTAAATTTTTCTACTTGTGCAAATGAACGCAAATGGTATTTTGTTACTTTAGTAAGCCTTTCCTAGATTACTAGGGAGGTTAATATATAATATATATACATACATTTTTATGTGTGTATACGTACATATGTATATGTTTATAATTGGACATTGGGTTCCTTATTCAATAAAATGCTTATACCAATTATCCTTTTAAAAAATTGGGTCATCTTTTTGTTATTCTTTGGAGTTCCTCATAAATTCTAGTTACTAATCTTTGGGTTATATATGTTAGTTGTTTTTTCCAGTCTTGGCATGTCTACATGCATACACGTTAAATTTTAATGTAGTCACATTTATCTATATTTTACTAAATGATTTGTGCTTTTTGTGTGTCCATCTCTGACCTTTAAACACAGGGGTACCATAGGGCTCAGGCCTTGGACCTCTGTATTTACATTAATTCCCAATAACCTTACTTAGTCTCATGACATCAGCACACTGATGGCTTTTATGTGTAGCTCTTCCACTGCTCCAGTCATATATAGTCATTTAAAAGACTTTTGCTGAGTTGGATACATATTTCTTCTACCCTTATTACCCAAGTTTCTTGAATGGGGAGTCTGCAGTCACTGCCTCTATTTCCTCACCATCCATTCACTGTTCAACCCACTGCAGCTTTGTTACCGGACTCAGGTCCGGATGCCCACCCCTTTGAAAAAGAAAGAAAAAAAACTCAGAAGTCAAATGGTTGGTGTTAGAAAAGCAGATGTTATTCAGCTGAAGGAAATGGTAGGCTATCCCATCTTAAAGATTTACATTTACTGAGGGGTTTTTAAAGGAAGGGTTGAGGGAATGGAATGTGGGAGGTGAAAAGCAGGAGAGCAGGAGATGTGTTACGAGCGGTCCGTGTCTGTGAGTCAGGTACAAGGTCTCACCAAGGCCTCATCTGGTTTCTATTCTCATCTTCACTGTTATCTCAGGACCCTGCAAGATTTTGATTTGCGCCAGTGTACTTGGCTAGTGCCCAAGGTCAGCTTCCAGTTGTTTGGCCTTGATCATTTCTCAAAACTCTACAAGTCTCAAAGAAAGAACTGTTAGCTTTGCAAAGTACTAATTAGCTTCTCGGCCTTGTTTTCCTACTTAACGAGTGAGATAAGAAAGTCAGGGGATGGGAAGCAAAAGTGGAGAGAAAAAAAACTGTCCTTTTTTTTTTTTTAAAAGATGACCGGTAAGGGGATCTTAACCCTTGACTTGGTGTTGTCAGCACCACGCCCAGCCAGTGAGCGAACCGGCCATCCCTATATGGGATCCGAACCCGGGGCCTTGGTGTTATCAGCACCGCACTCTCCCGAGTGAGCCACCGGTCCGGCCCCAAAACTGTCCTTTTTAAAATCCTCCACCCCTCTGCAGCCCAGGAAGCTTTAGGTCCCAACATGGCTTCAGTCCTGCTCACTCCAACAGCTTGGCTTTTGTCCCACTATTCCACTGATACTGATGATATTTTTTCTTAAACACAATCCACCCCTTCTTGCTTTCAAATGAAGTCTTATGTGAAATCACAATATATTAAACAGATAGAAGCAGAATTGCTCTGGGAATGGGTTGGGGAGGATCTAGAATCCAAACTGCTCTTTCTTTTCTTCCTTCTAAGTTGCTCCAGGGACATCTATACTGAATGCTGCCTACCTGTCCAACTTCCCTGTTGCTTCAAACACCCTAATCTCCAGCCATACTGAACTGTTTGGACACTTCTTTCCATCTCTGTTCTTTTGCACAATGCTCTTTCATCTGTCTTGAACCTGCATTAGCCAGCAGAACCTCTCAGCCCCAGGAACACCCCCCAGCCTACCTTCACCTTTATTATTCCTTCTCTTTTTGTGCCTCTCTATGACACATCATACTGAATTGTAATTTTGTATTTAAATATCTTTCTTCCCTACTAAACTGAGAACTTCTAAAGGTCAGAGACCCTGTTTTTCCCACCTTAATCGCTTTAGTGTATATCAACAATGGAATGAATAAGTCAATGAATGGCTGAGGAAGCTGAGCTAGGCCAAACTCTGAATTGGTAGCCTACCATTTTTTTAAAACAGCTTTATTAAGATATAATTCACATACCATACAATTCACAGTGTTGTGTAGCCATCACCACAATATAATTTTAAAACATTTTTGTCCCCCCAAAAAAGAAAACCCATAACCATTGGCAGTCACACTCTATTCCCCACCCTCCAACCCACTTCCCAGCCACTCAGACCGCCAAATTTAACAATGGTGAATTGGTCACAAATCTCAAAATCTGTTACCCCTCATACCTGGACTGTAATGTGAAATTTGGAAGGTAATTGTCTCATTATCAATTTGTACAGCAGAAACTCGAATCTGGGGCCTAAAGCAGCAGCTTCAGGTTTTTTTTTCCTTTTTGTCTTTTTTACTGACCGGTAACGGGATCGCAACCCTCGGTGTCGCACCCGAACCGGGGATGGCATGGGGATCGCAACCCTTGGTGTTGCACCCGCACCGCTCTCAGCCAGTGAGCGGAACCGGTCTCCACATGGGATCTGAACGCTCCCGCTGGGCTCACAAGCGGCGCACTCTCCAGTGCGCCACCAGGCCGGCCCGCAGCTTCAGTTTTTTTTTTTTTTTTTCTTTTTTTTTTTTTTT